GCGGTTGTAGGCCAAGGTTGCGTCAGGCAGGTGCTCGCTCCAGTTGCCCCCATGTCGGGCCACGTCGCTGGCCAGGTCCCGTTTCAAGGTTTGGATGGTTCTATCTACCACTGCCAGAGCGTTCCGATCCGAGGGATCCTTCACTCTGTGCACCACGGGGTCAGGCAGCGCCCCCTCCAGGCCATTGAATTCAACCCCTTGATCCGTGGACACAACGTAATTGGTCTCCTCCTCCACCAGCTTCGGGATGATCTCCCGGGCTGCTGCCGAAACCGTCTCTGTCTTCTTGTCGGGCAGGGCTTTGGTCACTGCTTCTCGGGTGAAAACGTCTGAGACAATCAGCCCGTACTTGTTGGCCCCCCGAGTGTTGACGTTGAAGTCGATCAAATCAGCTTGCAGCCGATCGTTGGGGCCCTCGGCTGCACTCTTGCCTAAAGACCGGGGCTTGGGGGCCAAAATCTGCCTGGCCACGTCGTCCCGCAAAGCTCGCGCGGCTCGGGCATAGGTCATGCCCGGCCGGTCCGGGAATTCCCGCCGTGCCAGCTGGTGCAGCTTCCGCACATCGCGGACCGAGAAGTCCGCGGCCAGCTGCCGGAATAGGTTCACGTTCTCCGCATCCATTTTATATCACGAGCGGCCCCGCTTCTTGCCCTTCTTCTCCAGGGCCTCCACACGAACCTGGAGCCCCTGGCAGACACCCCACAAAACGCAGCACATGCGGTTGTAGTCAAGAGTGGTGAGCTCTCCCAGCTCCTCATCCACGAGCTTGCCGCACAGCGCCTGGCCCACGGGCCCCGTCTCCTGCACTTCATTCGCAATGAAGCCGAGCGTGCGCTTCTGGCTGCCCTGGGTCCGCCGGTACCACTTGGGCGCCACGGCGTCGAACAGCTCCTGCAGCTCCTCGAGCCCCGCGGGCTCCACGCTGTGCTTCAGCTTCTCGTCCGAGAGGTTCTGGAAGCCGTAGTTCACGATCACCTCAAAGTCGTTGACAAGGCCCGTGTTCGATTCCACGATGAGGTTGGCCGGCCCGGCCGAGGAGGTGCGAAAGAAGATGGCCTGGTTCGGCGCGAACAGCTGCACGCCGCCCGCGGAAGCAGCCTCCAGTTCCCCTTCGCCCGAACCGCACTCCAGACGCAGCTTTGCGTTGCCGACGGGCGCGAGGTTGACGACCTCCGCCGTCACGTCCCCGCTGTTGACGGTGGCCACGACCCGCAGGTCCCCCTGCGCCTGCACGCCCGTGCTGCCGCCAATGAGCTCCAGGTAGGCCGGGCTCGAAACGATGCCGTTGTCGGCCCGAATCGCACTGGCGGTGTAGAGCACCGAGTTGAGGTAGGTCCCCTGGGTGCCGCCCGTCAATGTGAGGTAGTCGTCTGTGGGCCTCGCCCGCACCGTGGGCGCCCGCAGCTCCGTGCTGAGCTCCACGCTTCCCGAGGTGCGCCGTTGACGATGGTGCCCCCGGAGCCTCCGGTAATGGTGAGCTCCGTGTCCTGGACGCGCATAGCGGGCGTCGCTTTCGGCCTTGCTGTAGCAGTCACACGTAAGCTGCACCGTGGCGGAGTTGCCCAGGATCAGGTTCGCTCCCAGGGGTGCCTGGGGCAGCAGCGCCCTTATCATTCTTGGCGTGAAGTTGTCGAGCACCATAGGAATGATGCCCCCACCCCCCGCGTTGCCGTTGACCACATGGTACCTGGAGTCCAGGGGCGTGAAGTCGCTGTTGGAGAAGTACCTCCCATCACTTTCGCTTTTGCTGTAGCAGTCACACGTAAGCTGCGCCGTGGCGGAGTTGCCCAGGATCAGGTTCGCTCCCAGGGGTGCCTGGGGCAGCAGCGCCCTTATCATTCTGGGCGTGAAGTTGTCGAGGACCATAGGGATGATGCCTCCGCCTCCGGCGTTGCCGTTGACGGGATGATACCGGGCGTCGCCCTGCGCTTCGGTGAGGAGCCCAGAGGAGCTGATCTGGCTGGCGATCTCCGCCGAGGTTTCGCCCTGGTCCCAGTAGTTGGTCAGCTCCGAAGCAATGGAGCTGTCGATGTCGGCCTGCGTGGCGTACTGCGAAACGTTCAGGGCGTCCACGGCGCTCGATATCTGCGCGTTCACCTCGGCCTGCGTGTACGTCTGGCTCTGGTCGTAGGCCTGGCACTCGATCTGCAGCGTGTTGCCCGAGTTCTGGAGGCTGGCCACCAGGGGCCCGGCGAAGTGCAGGTTCCGCAGGGCCTGCCCTGTCAGCAGCTCCCAGGTGGTGTTCCCGCTCCAGGCGGGCGCATTGGAAACAGCTGCGCCCGTAATGAGGGCGTCCACTTGCGCGGAGTCGTAGTAGGATGCGAGCGCTATAGCGATCTCGTTCAGGATGGGCGCCTGAAGCCCGGTCCACGGCACGTATGCACTCAAGTCGATGCCGCCCACAGCCGCGGCAATCGCGGCATCCATCTGCGTGGTGGTGCTGTACGGAACCAGAGCTGCAGTGATGGCTCCATTGGTTTCGCTGCTTGTGTAGTAGCTGCCCAGGGTGGCCAGCACCCAGGACTCGCTGGCCAGGGGCGCCAGAAGAGCATTGACCTCGGCCTGCGTGTACGCATCGCAGGCCAGGCTCAGCGTGAAGTTGTCGTTCTCGAGGGAGACGCTCAGGGGAGCGTTGAAGTGCCAGTTCCTAATTGTGTTCGTTCCGACCAGCAGATCCCAGGTCGTCTGCCCGGACCACGCCTGGGTGTTGGCGAGGTTCGTGCCGCCGCCCGTGGTGAGTGCCGCCAGGGCTGCTGTGAGCGCATCGATGGCGGACTGCAGGCTCGTTTCGGAAGCCGAGAGGTCCGCCGCCGTCGCAAAGGGCCCCGCACCTTGCAGCGCCAGGATCTCCGCATCGTGCCCATCCAGGCGCACATCTCGCACGGCCAGCAAGCTGTTGAGCCCCGCGGTGTCCGTGTACCCCGCGAGTGCGGTGGCAAGCGCTGCAGCCACGTCGGCAGCCGACTGGAAGCCCGCGGCTTGCAGCACCGCCAGGGCCGCCTCGGCGGCGTCGAGTCTCCCGTCGCGGAGGGCGAGGGCGGCGTCCAAGGCCGCCTGTTGAACGTACGCGAGGAGGGCCGTGGCGATGAGCTGCGAGACGTCCGCGGGTGTGGTGCGCAGGGCCACTGTGCTGCTGAGGTCGGTGGTGGTTGGCCGGTCCAAAAGAGCCGTCGCTATTTTCTGGTCGACGTCCGCGGCTGTTTGCCGGGCCGCCACGTCGAGGGCCAGCTGGTCCTGCGTGCTCTTCAGCCCATAGGTGCTCGCGACCTGCGCGAGCACTGCATTGTCGGCGCTGGTGATGGCACTGTTCATGGAAGCGTTAGTGGGATGGTTGGCTAGCTTGAGGTCCACGGAGGCGGGCGTGCTCTTGGAGTTCACGTCCAGCTGCAGCGCGTCGAGGGCGCTTTGGTTCGCTTTCCCCGCCAGACCCGTGGTGAGGCTGGTGCTGAGAGTGGTTATGGAAGAAGCGTTGCCGGCGATGAGGCCCTCGGCGGCTGCCAAGTCAGCTGCCAAAGCGTAAGGGGTCAAATCGGGCGGTGCCGGGATGGCTGCCACCTGGGCCTGCAGTGCCGCGACGGCGGACGAGTTGGTCCCGATGGATGCGGTGTTGGCAGCGGTGTCTGTGAGGGGTGTGTAGGCCGTGAGGACCGTTGCGAGCTGCCCCGCAGAGATCCCCTGCATCTCGATGGTGGTGATGGGGGTCTGGCCATCGTTGAGGATGTTGCCGGTGATGGTCGACTCAAAAAGACTCATGTTTTACTAGTCGAGGGAACTGACCCCAGCTCCTGAGAGCGTCACGAGCTGGTAGGAGAGCATGTGCACGAAGCACTGGTCCACGCGCTCCGCCTCCATGTTGCTGAAGCTGAAGCGACAGAGGTCGCCGGAGCGGGTCGAGATGCCCGAGAGCGGATGCTTGGGCACTCGTTCCACCGGGAAGGCCGCGATGAACTGCGTGTTCCCGTAGAGGTTGTCCCGGATGCGCATGTTGCGAAGCTTGGAGTCATAGGTGCCCGCCAGGATCTCCAAAAAGTGGTGCCATTCGGCGATGCTCTCGTTGGCCGTCCTAGGATATTGCAACGCACCCAGCTGCAGCTGGCCCTTGAGGTTCCGATTCGCATTCGCTCCAGGGTACTCGAAATTGTCCACGTGGTCCTCCGTGGTCTTGTTGAACGTCACAAAGGCGCCGAGCAATTTCGTAAATGCCCGTGCTATTGTAGTATTGTAGCTGGTGGACCCTGCGGGGATGCTGGAGAGCTGCGTGTGCATCGTCGGGAAGCTGAAAACCAGGCTGCGGCCGCTGGTCATGATCCTCTGGAAGCTCTCGCGAAGGGCGGAGTCGAGGGTCACCTGGGAGGCGTAGAGCTTCACGTTCTCGATGGTGTACTCCTGGCTCCCGCTGACGTTGCGGGCCCCGTCGGTGGGGTCGCAGAAGGTGATTTGAAGAACAAGGCCGAGCTCGGGGGGCAACATTTTGCCGCAGTTGAAGATCCCGATGAGGTGCGGGCTCATGAGCACGGTGCGGGAGCCCGAGGCCGGGATCTCCTCGGCGTGGCCCCCGCCGTCCGCCAGGAAGCCCTGGATGTGCCGGTTCAGCCACCACTCCTCGTTCTTCAGGAGGCTGTAGAGGTACGAGCAGCGGTTGTAATAGGAGATGTCCTCGATGCGAGTGCCGTTCGCGAAGACCTCGATGCGGTCGATGAGACAGCTCGGGTCCGGCGAGGCGAGCTGCAGCGTCGCCGTGGTGGAGGTGTTGCGCACCGTGAAGCCGAGCTTGACGCTCTCGCCGTCCACGAAGTCCATGCCGCTGGTCAGCGGGATGCGGCGCACGCGGCTCGTGGTCGGCGTGAAGACGCTCAGGGAGCTCGGGTAGTACTGGACGTCTTTGCGGCTCTGCACATAGTTAACGTTGGAGGTCTCCAACCGAAACGACAAAGACTGGATCAGCTCATCATTTACGGCAGCAGTTACCTGCTCCATACTGTTTACTTGTAGCGAAAGATTCACGCGGCCTCCGGCTCGCTCGCGCTTCGAAGCGCCTCGAACGACGGGGGCGGTGCGGCGCGGGACGGCCTCTGCATGCGAGGCCCGCGGGAGGACTCGCTGCCCGAGGACTGCGCCAAGGGAGCGGGGTTCAAGCCCGTGGGGAAGCGCGTGGGCCTCGCGGGGCGAGCCTGCATGCGCGGGGGCGGCTGGGCCCGCGGCTCCGATTCGCTGTCGGTGTCCATGCGGTAAAACTGCGGGCGTTGCCGTGAGGCCTGTGGCTCCCGGAGCTGGAAGTGCTGCTCCGCCCCAAACTCCTGCATCCCATTCAAGGTCTGGATGTCGGGGGCCGAGCTGGGTCGGGAGGCGTCCGTGTCGGTTCCTCCGCCTCCACCCCAGCCCAAAAGGTGCTCTGCCGCCACCATGCCGCCGTGCAGTGCCCATGCGGTTCCCACGAGTGCGGCCGCCCCGCCTGCCACAGCCAAGCCCCCCGCCGCTGCTCCCATGCCCGCAGCGGTGCCCAATGCTGCCTCGCCAAACAGCGCAAGCGCGCCCGGACCCGCTGCGGCCTCTGCAGCACCTGCCGCTTCTGCAGCCCCCGCAGCCATTTCTGCGGTGGAAGCGAAGCCCTCGGTCGCCTCCGCCTCGGCCACCTGCTCGCTCATGAACTGCTCGATGTCTCGGGCTGCCGCCCTCTCCACCTCCTGGGCTCGCTGTCCCGCCCGCTCCAGAAGCGGCTCCACTTCACTTGGCCGGCCGATGATTTGGGGTGGAGCTACTTCGTCCTGCGGGGGCGCGAGGCCCTCGGGCGTGCGCGGAATGCGTAGGTTCCGGTCGATCCAGTTCCTTCCCCTGCGCGCTGCATTGTATAGGTCTTGTCCGTGCCCCGCAATGGCAGAGGCAGAGCGCGCGAGTCCAGCTGCAGCTCCCGCAGCGGCTTCAGCCTGCTGCATCCGGCTGAGGAAGCTTGGCGGTGCTGGGGGCTGAAACCCGTCGTTTCTTAGAGCCTGCCCGGGGTCCACGGCCCCAAAATCCGGTTCGCTGTCCATGTCAAAGGGCCGTGGGCGCAGGAAATCTCGGCGGGGGAAGGGCACGCCATCATACCCTTCATTGGCATCCTCGTAGGCTGCTGCAGGGTTCACGGTCGTGTGGGGCAGCGGGGCTGGCTCGGGCTCGGAGCTCTGGGGATAGTCGTCCAGCCAGAAGTGGCTGGAAGTCAGGATGCTGGCATTGCGGTTTGGGAGGTCGATGGGCAAGGGCTCGCCCTCAGCGATGTAGCCCAGGACCTGTGAGTATGACGGCCGTACGCGGAAGCCGTGCGCACGCCGCTCCTCCATGTCTTTACATGAGGCCGCCATAAACCGCAGAGTCGCTAGTGTTGCGCCCGGCAGCCACATCGCGGGCCACGCGACGCACGCCCGCCCGCTCGGCGGGGGCCCACCTCAACTGGGGGATCCTCCTGTTAACGGCGTCGACTGCACGCCCCACTTCATCCGTATAGGCCTCGCCTTCCTGGCGCTGCCGCCGGTTGGCCAGCCACTCGTTGAAGGCCCGAGCATCGATCAATTGCTGCTGCCGCTTGTAGAGCAGCGGCGTCAAGTTGTAGCTGGGATACTGCTTGTGAAACGCCCGCAGCATCGCGGCCTCATTGCGCCGCTCGGGGAAGGGCATCATCTCTTTTTACAAGTCCATTGTGTTTGCGAGCAGGAGCTCATGGAAGCGGTCGGCTCGCGAGAGCTGCCGGGCGCGGCGAGCCTCCGAGGGCGTCATACGCACGGGTTGCTGGGGCTCAGGCGGGGGCTCTTGTGCTCGCTCCTGGTGGGGCTCTTGCTGCGGCTCCGGTGTCGGCGGCTCAGCATGCTTCGGAAGCTCCGCCACGGCCACAGTCGGGGGCGGCTTTGGCTTGTTCTTCGAACCTGGCGGTCGCCCTCGCCGTTTGGGTTGGGGCGCTTTCTGAGGAGCCTCGGTCGGCGGCTCGGCCACCGCGGCAGGCTCGGCAGGCTCGGGAGGCTCGGCCACCACCGGCTGCGCGGGAGGCTCGGCCACGGCGGGCTCGGTGGCCACAGGAGCGGGTTCATCCTCAGCCATTTTCTTTTCCAATTATTTTTTTATCGTTCGGTGTCGAGGAAAACCACAAAGGAAATGCTGGTGCCTCGAGTGTTCACGATGTTGCCCTGGTAGTCGGTGAGCTTGAAGCGCAACTGACGCAGGGTTATGGGCCCGTGCAGCTGAACCCAGTGCCCCTCTGACGTCTCGGTCTCCATGACGTGGCCCACGCCTTTCGAAACGACGATCTTGCAGAGGATGTCGTGCCCCAACGGGCCCACCGTCGTCTCCCCGTTGGCCAGTGTTGGGCACCTGAGGTACAGTTCTGAGAACGGATTCATCGTCACAAAGACGAAGCGCTGCACAGAGCCTGTGAGGTAGCTGGGGCCGAGGAGGTGGTTGATGGACAGGGGCTTGCTGGGCGAGGCGCCCGGCGGGTAGGGGGCCGTGCCTGGGAAGCGTTGCCGGAGCTCGGCATCGTTGAGGATGAGGCGCACGCCGTCGTAGGTCACGTCGAGCTCATTTGTCTCGGCGGTGTAGCTGGCGGAAGCGAAGTTGCTGCTGATCCACGCAGCCAATCGCGGCCCTGTGTACGCCCCCACCGGGAGCTCCGCGTAATGCAGGGTGCCGGCGACCGTGTCCTCCCAGTACAAGAACGTCCCGCGGTCCGTGCTCAAAAAGGCGTCAGCAACGCGGACCTTGTACACCGCAAGTTTGGCGCCGGATTGAATGTGCACACTCTCACCGATGTCGAAGGAGAAGCTGCTGTCCGTGCCCTCCGCGCGGAGGCGCGAGTCCACGTAGATACTCGTCATGCCCTTTTTAGAACGGCGCCTGAAAAACCGGGTGGGCCGCGCCGAGAACTCGCTGGCGTTGGAGCCGTCGGAGGTTTGCCGGGGCCTGTCTGGTGGGGGCCAGTGGCTGGGGTCGTAGATGCCCTGCGTGCTGGTGCAGCACCTTATGTTGCTGCACTCACTTTCGCACATCGGGCCTCCCCCCAACAACTTGGCCGCCATCTGGCTCAGGAGCGTCCCCATTTAGCAAGAACTTCCGGTCGAAGCGCACCCAAAACATGTCTTCCTTGGGCGCGCGGAGGTTAACGAACCAGAAGCTGTAGGGCTCCCTGGTGGCCTCCTCGTACATGGCGTAGAGGGTTTCTTTCGGGAGCATGGCGCTCAGCTCCTCCACCAAGGCATCCAGCTCCAGTTGGTTTCGCAACCGGAAGACGCAGTAGAACATCACGTTGACCCGCACGGCGGAGCTCATAAGACGCAGCTTCTGGGTCGAGACTCAGGTGTTGATGCAAAAATGTCTGCCCCTGATGAACAGAGTGTCCAAAACGCCATCTCCCGTCTTGCGGTGCACAGCTGGATTATCGGCATGATCATCCAAAACTACCAAGACCGAGTACAGTTTTTTGAGGCCCAGCTCCTTGCTCTTCTGGGTGATGCGCTTCTGGTCCGCGATGATCTTCCGCAGCGCCCCCTCGTCCCAATCCTCCCACCAGCACTGCTCCCGGTCCGTATTCACGCCCAGCTCGTCTCGGATGTAATCCTTGACAGGCTGCCAGGCAGAGTCGACCTCCACCGAGGGCGAGAAGATATAGATGCGCTCGAAGCAGCCCCGGTATTGCTCCAAAATCATGCTCACAAGGAGTACCGTCTTTCCGCTTGCAGATGGAGCACACAAAATACCGTTGGCGGGGGGCTTGCAAACCACGGGGTCAGGCGGCTGCTTGACGGAGTACTCAGGCGTCTTGAAGAGACGCACCTTGCCCATTTAACCCAAGTGTTGCGCTCGCGGCGATCTCGTCGCACAGCGCAGGCGGGATGGAGTAGAGCTGGTCCCGCGAGTTGCTCCCCTGCCGCCCCTTGGTGGGCCCTCGCTGCGCGGCCTCGGGGTGCCGAGTTCCTTGGAAGGCCTCGCAGCGGTCGCCCTTGCGGCAGGGCCCCTGGGAGGGGGTCCAGGGCAAGTTGTGCCAGATGGCCGTGGGCTTCTTGTAGCGGAAGCCGTACTTGCAGTACGTGACCCGGTCCATGTGCAGCCCTTGCATGTAGGGGCGGGTTTTGAGGCGCCCGGTGCTCGGGTTTTCGATGGCCCACCACCGAGGCTTGAGGTAGTCTATGACCTCCAGGGTCTTGAGCACCAGGGCATCTCCGAGCGGCAGGTTGCGGGGGCGCTTCTTGAGTGCGATGCTGAACTCGGTGCAGCAGGGCGAGGCCCACACTGCGTCGAAGTGAAGGCCTTGTAGTCCCATTGCAGGATGTCGGAGCAGATGGTTGGGCTGGCTTTTGGGTTGCTGTCAAGACTCGTTACCTCCCAGCCACGGGCCGCGAAGGCACGTCCGACCGACCCCGTGCCGCTGAAGAGTTCCAGGAGTCTCATTTGTTGAAGGAAAAGAAAAGGCCCACAGGACCAGCAAGCACGCCAGGGCCACCACGCACTCCGCGGTGGCGACGGTGGCCGGCATGTTCTTTCTTGTCGTGAAAAAAGAAGGAGCGATGGAGCCCAAAACGGTACTCAAGCTCGGTGAGCTTACGACCAACCAGCGTGGCGGCAAGTTCTTCCCGGTGTGCGCGGAGGCCTGGCGGTCCCACGAGTGGCTGCGCATGTTGTGGCGCCCCAGCCCCTACGGCAGCGAGACGGAAGCCCGGCGACTCCCCCTGTGTCTCGAGCAGAACGAGGCCGCCAAGGCAGACCTGCAGGCGATCGAGAAGGACATCAAGGGCCAGCTGACCCAGCGATGCCTCCACGACTCTAAAATCTTCGGCCGCTACCTCACTGCGTCGGACGTGGAGGGTCGCTTCGTGTCCTGCCTCAAGACCTCCTCACGCGGGAACAGCTTCATCAAGCTCAAGGTCGATTTGTCCCGAGTCCACTTCTGGGACGCTGACCAGCAGCCGCTGGAGGATCCTGGCGACCTGGCCGGTCGGGAATGCAAGGTGCGCGCAGATTTGCGCCAGGTGTGGCTCATGTCGGGTCAGTGTGGGCTTCTGATGGAAGTGACGGACCTGCAGCTCAGAGAGGCCGAAGCCCCGGCCTTTCAGTGTCCGTTCTAGAGCACGCTCAGGAGCTCGCTGCTGGTGGCCCTGCTGCTCCCCACATAGAGGTGCTTGAGGGTGAAGTGTGGACTCTCGGTGTCGCATAGGAAAACCCGCCCTTCGAGCGTCAGGCCTTGACACGAGGCGTAGGTGATGGCGTGGCACAGCCGGGTGTGTTTCAGGAGGGCGGCGTGGGTGAAGGAGTCGCCGCCGTCCAAGACGATCTTCTCGGGACCCACTTCGGCCACATGCACGTAGATGCCTTTGGTCACGCGGCCGCCGACGCCGATGAGCTTCAGGCCGGGCCAGACCCGCATGGTCTGCGGCATGTTGGTGGTCGTCGGGCCAGTGCCGGTGTACTCGATCGTCACAGCTTCCGGCGGGGCCAGGCGACGGTTGTCCCGCGCATTGATCCTGATGCGGTGGGCGTGGGAGATGACCAGGCTGACATCGGGCTCGCCTTGCCGCGGAAACCTTTCCCGGGCCGCCCGGACCGCTTCCGGCAGGGACTGCTCCCGGGGCTCGTCGACCCGGAGCCACCGGAGGAAGTCGAAGATGCCCGGGTCGCTCCTCCTGTTCTCGGTGAGCTCGTGGTGCCAGCCGTCGGTGAGGTCGTGGAGCAGCTGGCAGTGCTTGAGCTCCCGCTGCACCGGGGTGCCTGCGAAGTTGTCCATGACGGCGGGGAACTGGCGGAAGTCGCCAAGCAGCAGGAACTTGACTTTGCGGTTCATGGAGACGCAGGCGATGTCGTTCCACAGCCCCGTGTCGAGCTGCGTAATCTCCTCCACCACCAGCCAGTCGATGTTGCAGTAGCCGTTCCGGACGGTGCTCCGCACCCAGTGGTCGGCCGTCTCCGCCTGCATGCCAAAGTTCTGCACGGAGGAGTGGGTCTTCGTGATGATCTTCACCTTGTACCCTTCTTCCCGGAGGGCGGTCACGATCTGGCGCGCCAGGTGGGTCTTCCCGGTGCCCGGGTAGCCGGTCAGCAGCAGGCTCCCGCCCTCGAGGCAGTGGAGCACAGGGTCCTCCGCGACCTTCCAGGCGTCAATGTTGCACATCCACTCCGCCTCGATTCGGGGGATCCGATACTGGCCTTCGAGGCCCTTGACCTCCTCGCATCGGTACACGGGCGTGCCGTCGGGATGCCTTTCGCGGACCAGGCTGTCCACAAGGCCCTGGAACTTTTTGGGCAGGTCCTGGAAGACGACGCAGTCCGTTTTGACGGCCTTCAGGTACCTCGACGGCACGGTTGCGAGTGCATCCCGGATTCTGGAGACGGCGACGTACTCCGAGGCCATCACGAAGTCGTGCACAGGCCGGCAGCTCCGGTTGGACAACAACTGGGTCACGTAGATGTGATCCCAGTGCATCCCGCCCGCGGCGTCCAGGAACAGCTCCCGGTGCTGGCACCCGGACCCGTCGAACTGGTGGTTGCTGGTGCGCATGGTGTAGATGAGGTTCATGTTGCGTGCCCACAGCCCGATTAGGGCATTCACCGACAGCTTCGCGTAGTGCTCCTCTCCCTCCGGCCAAGCCGCCTCCATTTTCTGCAGGGCCTGGGCCACGGACTCCTGGTCCACGTGCGCCGTGGCGTCCAGGCTGTACACGAAGTCGCTCCATGTCGCAAGGCCCTTTTCCAGCATGTAGGCCACCGCAGGCTTGGCGTACCAGCCCTGGCCCACGTAGGGGAGCTGCTTGAACGCCGCCCAACGCCCGTCCTCCCGGAGCCTCACGTAGGTCAGGTCCGCCAGGTGCCCTTCGCGGGCTTGCTCAACGTTGTCCTTGGGGCAGAAGATGGGCGCCGGGAACTTGGCATGGGCCAGACCGTTCTTGCGGCACCGCACCACGTCTATACCGTGGCAGATGTGGTCCGGCTTGTGGCTGTTGAGCTTGAAGACGAGCGGCGGGAGTCGAGGCGATTCCACGTACTGCTCGTAAGCCCGCCGGCTGAAGCGCGACTCCAGTGTCGTGGCGTGCGAGGACTCCAGGGCCGTTTTGTTCCGGTGGCACTCGAGGCACAGTGCCTGGAGGTTCTGGGCCTGTGCGGCGAAGGACTGGTGCACGGGGACGATGTGGTCCAACTCGCACGTGGTTGCGGTGATGGGGGCCGCGCAGAGCTTGCACTGGTGGTCCTGCTCCGCGAGCAGGGCTTGCCGAGATCCGGGCGGATCGCGGCGGGCCTTGAGAAGGTGAAGGAAGACCTCGCTCGCGGCGCCCGCCAGACGCTGCCCGCAATAGGGGAGCCCCAGCCGCCCCATCCAGGCCTGCAGCACATCCAGGTCTTCGTGGAAGGCGGAGATGACGCAGTCCTCGCCGCCCCGCACCCTCAGCCGCAGGCACCGCCACTCGCTCAGGCTTCGCATGACCACCTTCGGGCAGTGCCCCTCGGCCAGGAGCTCCCTCCGGACCTGCTCCAGGTCTTCAGTGTAGAAATGACCGCTGTGCGAATGAATAGGCATCACTCTTCTTGACTCCGAAGTTTGGTCTGACGGGTCTGGGCCCAAAGCTCATGCTGAAAGGGCCCTTTCATGTAGCATCGAGATTCGAGCCATTTGGGCGCGGGAAAACAAGGCACCGAGAGAGCCTTTCTTTCATTCCAGCTGGTGTTGTCCAGCTTGTCAGACAATTTCATTGGGAAGCATTCTTTCTGAACCATCATTCGATTCTTCTTCTTCGTGTTCGAGGCGCACCGTTTCTGGGATTGAAGCTGTATCTTTCTGTGAAGCTGCCAGTGCTATCGCACTGGTAGCGGAGCACTGTCTCCATCCTACCTCTGGGTGAGCCTGGACTTCGCTGCGTGGCTCTTGTTTCTGGTTTGGGAACGGGAAGTGGTTTTCACTATCTGGTTTCTGGACTTGAGGCTCGTGGCTGCGTAACAGAGCACGTGGTAGTTCACATTTGGCAGCTATGCAGAACAGTGCGCAGGATGCTCCGAGTTCTGTCCCTTCGTGGGATGGTCAGGCGAAGGGTTGGAGGCGATACCAGAGAGAAGTCTCATGGTATGTGCAGGCGACCAAACATACGCAACGCAGATATTTGGCGACAAGGCTAGTGGGAAAGCTGACAGGCAGTGCAAGGTTGTTGGCGATGAGCTGGCCTCAAGGCGAGTTTGACAATGAGTTGGGAGTTCTGCATTACATGAGGCGTCTGGCAAATAGCCCTCTGGTCCGCCGTTCTCTTCCCAACGCGGCGGCCATCATGAATCAGTTCTTCGCCTTTCGGCGGCACCCTGGCGAGAACATTGCTACCTTTCTGGTCAGAGAGCAGCTTGTTTATGAAGAATTCGTAGAGGCCCTTCTTCGGTTGAAAGAGGAGCGCAATGGTGCAGATCCTCTCAAGCAGCTGTTTGGATTGGAGTCTCTCTTGAAGACGGACCAGGAGGATAAGCCGTGGTGGCAAGACCGGCGCTGGCGAGAGACCGACGAGGAGACCGGTCCTGAACCCCGAAGGATATGAAGAAGTTCCGCAAGAGTCAGAGACTGGCAGTGCTGGCGGACCACCGCCGTTCACGCCGGGTGGTGGGCAGAACGCATCTCGCTCAGCACCTGAGGCTTCACCTCCTCGGAGCAAGAGCCAGGTCAAGCCGGAAGAGCCAGGAGACAGCGTGCCTGACAACTTCATTTTGGAGGTGCTTCGAGGATGGCGGCTTCTTCAGGCCGCGTCCTTGTCTCAGGAAGAACGTCGCGATGTTCTAAGTGCCACCTCCAATAAGCTGGACTATCTTTCGGTGAGCGATGCTTTGCAGATCCTTTGGGATGAGCAGTTGTCAGGTACCCGTCGTGGAGGCACGTTTTCTGCCATGATGACCGATGCGTTTCCTGGAGGTGCCGAACAAGCATGGGCGGATGAGCATAGCGATTGGTGGGATGATCCTGGCTGGTCTCCGGATGCATGGAGCGAAATGGATTGGATGCAAGCAGGCGACCACGATGAGCCGTGGTGGCCGGAGGCAGCTTCCGTTGAGACGGAGCGTCATCTCACCGCAGCAGAGCTAGAAGACCCAGAGGTTCGTGATGCTCTTCAACAAGAAAGGGCAGCGGAGAACTTGGCTGCGGAGGCCAAGCTTACCTGGCAACGAGCGCAGGCGGCAACAGCCGCCCTTCGCAAAGATCGTGGCTTTGGTCTGAACGCCGTGAAGGGCTCAGGCAAGTCTGGTGCAGCTCGTTGCCATCGGTGTGGTCAGACAGGACATTTCATTCGTGACTGTCCTCTCCCGGCCAAAGGACACCCCAAGGGACACCTGCATTTTGCAGGCGAATGGAACCAGCCCTATGAGAACTATCCGGCTGAAGCCTTCGCGATCAACAAGGGCAAGAGCAAGGGACGATCGGGTTTCAGCTTTAGTGATTTTCGACGTTGGACACAGAAAGGGAAAGCCAAGGGCAAGGGCTATGGTTCAAAGGGATCCTTTGCAGGTGGAAGTGTGAATTCGTATCTTTCAGATTTTGTTGGTGGTCTGGAGATGATGAACCAAGATGTACAGAATGCGGATGTCACTCCAGTGCCGCCTGGAACAGGCATGCTTGACTGCGGGGCCACAGCAAGCGCTGGCCCGGAGGCATCAGTCGAACGCCTCATGCACTCCCTGTTGCAGTCAGATCCAGGAGCTACGATCACAGTTGACCAGAGTCGTCGGCCATACTTTCGTTTCGGCAGTGGTTCCTGGGGGAGGGCTAGCTATTGCTTGACGATGGGCTCCAGTTTGTCGGGAAGCTTGAGGGAGTTCACAGTTTATGCTTTGCCGAACCCCAAGGAGTACTATGAACGATGGTTTGAGGCCAAAATGTTAGTTCCGGTCCTTATCGGGATGAGTCATATTGGCAAGGAGGGCGCTAGCATGATTGTGGATTTTTCGGATGGTCATTTCGTGAACGCCAACTACCCCGATAAGCCTGGTTTTCTTCAGCGCAACGAAAAGGGCCACTACATGCTAGACATCGTGAACTTTCTCACTGGTGGTAGATCAACAACCTCAGGTCATGTTAATGTGGTTTTGAAAGACCCCGCTGTCGCGATCTCACCAATGGTTACCTCGACCACGACCTCTCCTACCTCATCATATCCCTTGCCTGGCACTGCCGAGGACCTGCCCCTCAACTACTTGTACGGCATGGAGCTTTTGGCGTCTTCGTCCGAGGCCCCTGGGAGTCCAAGCTGTTTTGCGTCGGATGAGTCAGAACGTCGTGTCATTTTCGATAGCATGTTGATGAGACAATTGTCACGCAGAGGGGTGTCAAGACCTGTTTGGCTTCATGGTGAAGAAGTGGTTGTTCGAGCTAACAATCAGATGTGTGTGCCACAGCTCTCTCACGCCTCTGTGTCCCATGGCCCCCAAGACGAGTGCCTTAGCTCCTCTCGATCTCACGCGGACCATCACACAGGATCCTCGGGATCCTCGGAGCGACAAGGAGCAGTGGCCATGCATGGGTGCTCATCCTCAGGTGACTGTGGGCAAGAACCGGTACGGAGAGTGGCATCACTGTTCGGTGTGCAATCTCCGCACAAAGTACATTCCTCGAGAGGGAGCACCCAGTTCGGACACGCAAGCAATCAACCATGCCATGATGCTTCGAGCGCTACGTCAGTTGGAGACCGACATTGCGCCCCACCTTCCGGACCACGAGCTTGTCAAAGTTGCCTACGACAAGGAAGTAGCGGACAACCGGTATCTTCAGCTTGTGAAAAGGGTTGCTCCGGCCAAAGCGGAGAGCAAGATCGCCGTCAAGTTCGTTTCCAAGAACCTGGAGAAATCTCGTCCTCTTCCGGGTGGATACCATCCCGAGCCGGGGCAGTCGTCGCTCGAGGTTCTGGAGAATCCCAACCTGATGGACTCACCGGAAGGGCAATCTTCGACTGGTTCTGCTCTCGTCATCGGCGGGATTGGCGACCGCGCGCGTCCTCGCGAGAGATTTCCGGAGAACATGTCCACGGACTCCGAGCTTCAGCCACCCATGGGAATCACGATGAGCGATTTGGCCAAACTCAGTGCACGGGATCTGGAACAAATTCGACTTCGCATTCAGCAGAACATCACGGAAAGCCCATGAATCAGAAGTCCAAAACTTCGACTGAGGCATGTTCTAGGAAGGTTCTCAAGGCCATCCTCTCCATGATGACTTTGTGTGTGGCGCAGCAACGTTCCCTTGTGCAGGATTGTCTTCAGGATTCTGGCGGCGCAGATGTTTGGGAGATTTCGGACAGCTATGAGACAGCCTTTCAGGAAGGGTTTGCACATGAGGGTCTTCGCTTTCTTCACCTTCATCCTGGGACTGGCTACCCCATGGATAAGTCTTCCACTTACACGAAACTGCGCCCCATGTTTCTTTCTGCTCGACCTCGTCGAATCTGGGTTCGTCCCAAGTCGGGGATTTGGGAAGCCTTCCAGCGTCGCACTGACGATTTGAAGGGCATGAAGGACTCGGGTGAAGAACGACGTCGTAAGGAACGACAAGCGCTAAACCACCTCACCTCCTTCCTTGTGTGGTGCCTGGATAAGTCTCCTCATCTCGAGATCTTCTGGGAATGGCCTGCCAACAGCAATGGATGGAAGCAGCACGTGATGGAAGACTTTGAGCAAAGCCTGTGGATTCGAGACAAAGAGTGGCTGAGTTGTCGAGTGGATAGCTGTCGCTATGGTTCCAGATGCGAGACTGAGGGTCACCGCCATGAGTTTGTACAGAAGAAATGGTTGATACGTACCACTTGCCCACTCTTCCATGCCCTGTACAAGACTCAGGTGTGTGTACAACCCCATCTCCATGTTCAACCCACGGTGAGTGAACTGGCCAAGGTTCGTGTCTATCCGGCTCCTTTCGCTGGCTCAGTGGCCAGAAGTTTTCGACAACATCTGTATCCAGATCGTCTCTGGTCTCAGCTCGCTGCTCGAGGACCTCCTTTACGTCCTGAGGAAGATGGGGACTATGTGGAAAAGCTCCTCAAGGGTGACGTTCGACCTCGTCTTTGGGATGGTAACAGGCTTGCTGGTTCAGACGCTGACCAGGAAGGACCTTCTAGTGGATGTCCAAAAGTTGGTGAACTACATGCCCTGGACCAAGAAGATGCTTCTCCTCACCAGTCTTTGGCGCCGTCTCCAGAAGAACAAGAGCAATGGGAACGAAAACTACTTCGCTTCCACAAAGCTGCTGGTCACCCCAACAACCGGAGCCTCGCGCGAATGGTAAAGGATGCCGGAAAACCGCGTTGGCAGGTGGAACAGGCTCTGAAGCTGAAGTGCCCAGCTTGTGAAAGCGTCCGTCCTGGAGGTGAATCATCTCGACAAGTTCCTCCTCTTTCCACTCGCCCTTTACCTCAGGCGTGGGAAATTGTGTTGATTGACGTTGCAGAGTGGGTTTCTATACCTCACAGGACCAAGATAAAGTTCATTCTTCTGATGGATGCGGCTACCAAGTTCAAGGCCACAGAGGTTTTGCTGACCTATGGTATCAATGAAATGAAAGCTGAGACGACGTCCCAAGTGATCGAAGTTTTCAGTCGAAGATGGTTGGCCGAACGTCCCAAACCTCAGGTTGTGGTGCCCGACAATGCGTCTTCCTTTAAGTCCATGGCTTTTGGCGACTTCCTCTCCGATGTGAACATTATGCTGTCACCGCCGCCTGAGACGGAACACTGGGCCCATGGCGTGGCAGAGCATGCCATCGGTGACCTAAAGACAGTGATGGACCGTTTGCAGGCTGGCGAGCCCACCTTCTCTCCATCAACGATCCTCTCATTGGCGACGATGAGTCTCAATCAAGTCGAGGTGGTCAAGGGTTACAGTCCTTATCAATGGGTCTATGGGAAGGACTTCAGCCTCACGGACGAGGATAACATCACCATGGACCAGCTGGAGTCAGAGGCTCCACATGTTGAATTCGCGAGGCTGCTGACCAAAAGAGTAGATGCGGAGGCGATTGCTAGAAAAGTGAGAGCAGAGAGGACCATGTCTCGGCTCTCCCACTCTATGAGCAGGCAACCTCTTCGGAAGTTCCTTCCAACGGATCTGGTGAAGGTCTGGCGCCATCGACAACCTCATGAACTACATCGTGGCCGGCGGGGTGGCTTCCGTGCGTCGGCTCGACCCTACTGGATTGGGCCAGGACGTGTGGTGTTTCAAGAAGTGCTTCAGCATCAACATCCAGATGATCCAGCTCGACACATCGTCTGGGTCGTATTGGGAAACAAGTTGTTAAGGTGCTCTCCACATTCCGTGCGGCTTCTATCTGAACAAGAACGTGCGTGGCATCACATGAATGGTCAGGTAGATGATCCATCAACTTGGCGATCCTTGGCTGACCTTCTACCTCGCAAGCAATATGAAGATGTGACTTCGGAAGTTCCACCAGAAGCCGAATCGGAGGACCTTCCTCTGGCACCAGACTCATCCACTTGGCAGCCCTCTCGGCGGCTTCGTGGGAAGCAACAACCGCCCCGTTCGTTTGTGCCTATGGAGCAGCCCATGCAGGAGGAGGTGAATGATTACGAACCCCCAACTCCATCGGTGAACTACTCACCCTCTCCTTTAGGGGCATCGCCTGGTGAAGAGCACGATCTACCTGAAGGACTTGGCAGTGGATTACCGTCAGAAGCTCCTCTTGATGAAACCGTTAGACCTCTTCTTCCCGGGTCTGCAGACGAGCATACTGAGCCCATTGAAGACGTCTCATCCGAGGACCTCTCCAATATGCCACCGCCGCTGGACTCAGATCCTCCTGAGGAACCTGATGAAAAACGACCTCGCTTGGATGATGGTTTCTTCATGGAGATGGCTGAGGAAGTCCCTATGTATCAGCTTGCTTGCGATCTGGAGCTGGACTCTCATCGCAAACTGAAGAAGTTTCTTCGTTCGCCTGCAGCATTCTTGGTGGGGCAGCTCCGTGACTCCGAAGTTGTCTTTGAAAAGCTGAAGCCTGCAGATCGAAAACTTTTCGTCAAGGCCAAGGACAAGGAGGTCAGTTCGTTCATCAAGCAAGAGGCAGTTCGTCGTTGCCTCTCATGGGAAGAAGAACAAGGTGCTCGCGAATCAGGTCGTGTGATGAAATGCCGTTGGGTGCTCACTTGGAAGCCCATACCTGAATCCGAGAGACCTGAAGCCCTACAGGAGGCTTCTCGTGGAGCGACTACCATCTCTCCTGATGGCAGTCGCAAGGCTAAGGCGCGGATTGTCCTTCTGGGATATCAACACCCAGACCTTCTCAAGCCTGGCTTTCAGTCCTCAGCACCAGTTCTCAGTGTTCTCACGAGAAACCTTTTATATCAGATGGTAGTGCAGGAGCAATGGTCCATAGAGGGTTTGGGTTTGAGCACTGCCTTTCTCCAAACGAGCAAGAAGGAGAATATGAATATTTGGACGACAGGGGTTCCTGAACTATGTCGTGCCCTCAACGTACCTGAAGGCAGTCTTCTCAAGGTTCTGAAAGACTTCTACGGAAGCACTACGGCGCCACGTGGCCTGTGGGAGGACATTGACAAGAAGTTCTGCAACTTGGGAGCCATCAAAATCATCAGCGATCCCTGCGTCTGGGTATGGCTGTGTGACAATCCTCGCCCCCGAAATGAGTTTGACAAGAAGATTCCTATCGGTTTCATGGGAGGCCATGTTGATGATTTTCATCGTGCTGGTAATCGCAAGAATGAGGCATGGCTCTCCATCTGCAAGCAGGTGGATGATATGTATGCTTGGGGGGCATCCAAACGAGATGCCTATCGCCATGCGGGAACCGACCTCATCATGCGATACGACGCCGAATGTGGTCACTTCATTGAGATCAATCAGGATTTCTATGTGGAGTCCCTGACCGATATTGCCTTTCTCAAGGAAAGGGGTACCTTGGACCAGCCTCTCACCGCATCGCAGATTACCAGTTGTCGAGGTGCGCTTGGGGGTTTGCAGTGGTTGGCTATTCAGACCCAGCCTCTCTTATGCTCACGTTGTAACCTGTTGCTCACGGATCTGTCAAACCAGCCCACTCGTCAGACAGCCCGCGAGATTCAGGACATGATCATGGAAGTCAGAGCAAAGCCCTCCAAGCTGATCTTCAAGCGAATTCCATCAGTGACACACTGGCAGGAGATGCACGTCATCACTCTTGGAGACCAAGCATCTAACAATCGACCTCGTGGTGGTTCAACGGGCGGCATGATAACATTTCTTGGTGGACCTGAACATTCCGAAGGTCATCCCGGGTATCTCACGATGGTGGCATGGCGCACGTGGAAGCTGCAGCGAGTGGCAATCTCCTCAAATGATGGCGAAGTACAGGCTATGGTTGAGTCGGAGGACTCAAACTTTCGAACCCGCCTCATTTGGGCGGAACTCCATGGTGCCAGTCATGATCGTCCTCTACGTAACTCACTTGCTCACTGCGAGGCCATGGTTTCCAAAATCCCTGGCATAGTCGGCACCGACAGCAAAGGTGGCTTTGACGCAGTGACAAGGAATGAAGGCCCAACACTTGGGCTATCAAATGCTCGCGCGGCCATTCAGGGCCACCAAATCAAGGAGTCGATACCTCGCACCAAAGGCAAGCTAATTTGGCTCGCCAGTGACTGGAACTTGAGTGATGGGCTCACCAAGAAGCCTGGCGAGAGTCGTGTCGGACTCACTCAGTTCCTAGAGACTCGGGTTTGGATGCTCCGTTTTGACAAAAATTTCCTGTCATCCAAGAAAGCACGCTCTCAGGGCGTGACGGCTGTGTCAACTATGAAGAACCTGTCAGACCAAAAGAAAAAGGGTCCCATGCGAATGAATAGGCATCACTCTTCTTGACTCCGAAGTTTGGTCTGACGGGTCTGGGCCCAAAGCTCATGCTGAAAGGGCCCTTTCATGTAGCATCGAGATTCGAGCCATTTGGGCGCGGGAAAACAAGGCACCGAGAGAGCCTTTCTTTCATTCCAGCTGGTGTTGTCCAGCTTGTCAGACAATTTCATTGGGAAGCATTCTTTCTGAACCATCATTCGATTCTTCTTCTTCGTGTTCGAGGCGCACCGTTTCTGGGATTGAAGCTGTATCTTTCTGTGAAGCTGCCAGTGCTATCGCACGCTGGCGACCTCGCCCTCCCACTCCCGCCAATCCTTGAACTCGGGCGTTTCGCCTGGCTTCCTCTCGCCCCGGTACCTGGCCCGCTCCCCGATCGGCTCGCACTTCGCGACGGTGCGGGCGGATTTGTAGAAGAAGGCGTGGCCGTTCCAGCTCGTGAAGGCCACGGCCCGCTGCTCCTTGACGGTAGGCTCGTACTTGTCCAGCAGGCGGCCCTGGCAGTCCACGTAGAACATCGGGGCCTGGCGCCAAAGGCAGAATTCCCGGATCTCTCGGGGGGTGATGCCCTGCTCCCGCCACGTTTTTTTGGTGCAGATTGCGTCGAAGTCCGAAAGCACCTCCTGCAGCGGCAGCCGCATCAGCTCCGCGAGCTGCCGAGGGACGCAAAGCTTGTCCGGCCGCTGTTCGAAGGCGGACTCTAGGATTTCGTCGCCGCAGTACAGCTGGTAGGAGACGTCCCGCAGAGCCCCCAGGGGCTGATCCAGGACGGTCTCCACCACCACCCGGTCGTCTACGACCTGCATGGCCTGCTGGCTGAAGGTCCACTCCCTCGTTGCGTCCAGGTAGTAGGTCTCGTCGGACAGCTCCCAAATAATGTCGTTCGGCTCGGGGTTCCCGAGCTGCGCGAGCGCGGACGCCTTGAGGTTCCGGGCCGCTTGGGCATCCGAGAGCCCCTCGCTCTGCCGGGGCAGTGTGACGTTGAGGTCCGTGACGGGCAGGCGCTTCGTGCGCTCGTAGGGCATGCCGCGGTTCCGGCCGTTTCGCCGGATGCCGCGGATGATGACGGGCACGTGCACCACCCAGTCCACCCACTTGTCCTTGAAGAAGCTCTTCCCGAGCTTGGTCAAGTGGTAGTTCCCGTTGGGCTGGAGGCTGCGGAGCAGCTTTTTGGCGCCCCCCCGGAGCATGATGTAATCGTTCGGGCCCTCGCGGATGAGGGGTTGGTTGCGGTCGTACTGCCGGCTGGGGGGCGGCCGGTCGATCAGTTGGTAGTAATACTGGCCGGCCCTCGTGAGCTCGCCGTTCGGGCGGCTGAGCATCGCGTAGCGGAGGTGGTGGTGTGTCAAAGGAAGGGTTTCTGAGCCTGCCGCCGAGGTCCTCGCCCTGACCCCGGCCTCGGCTGCAATTCTAATCGCTTCTCGTTGTTGAGCCCAGCTCATGACTTTTGAAAACCCCGGCCGGAAAAAAGGTCGTCGCCCGAGCGGGCCCCCCTTCGCCGGTCGAGTTTCCAGGAGTTCGCATCCATAGGTACTGGCGAGGGCATGAAAGAACGCCTTTTCGCCGGTCGACCTAAAAATCACTGCTTCAGGGCGAAACGTTGGCATTTTTTGTTTTGCATGTTCTTGCTGGATCTTCGCATGATTTTGGCATGACTTTGCGCATTTTTTGCTAGAGTGCTTGGGCCGCGCTCGCTCCTCGAAGCGCCAGCAATCGACAACATACCGTGCTAGTCCTAATCATATGCCAACTAAAGACCTTCCTTCAGCACCTGTGGTCGCAACAGCAGCAGGCAAAGCCAGCAACACTTCTAAGGAAGACAGCAGACACACACACAGGGTCCTGACACAGGGCCGAACGCCGGGCGCACAGAGGTTCAGGAGGTGTTTGGGAAGGTGTTTGGGGGGTTCTGAGGCTGCGAGGTCTGGAAGTGTTGTGCGTCGCTGTGCTGCAAGGCTTCAGGGTTTAGGGTTGGCAGGTGTGAGGCAGTGAGGTCGCCTGAGTGCCCGGGAATTTCGGGCCCCCCTCCTGTGATCAGGTGCTCCTCGTCTCCACTGCTGGCAGCCGGGCTCCGCAGAGGCTTCAGGGTCGGTAGGGTTTCGGGTTGCAGGCTATTGTGGGCTCCGATGCAGTGAGGTTTAGTTCGTTTGTGCTCAGGAGTGCCTTGCGTGCTGTCTGCCCTTCCTCCCCTCCCCGCTGTAACTCTAGAGTGCCCTGCGTCTCCCCCGCCCCTCCCGGGAACCCCGGGCCCTCTCCTGCGACCAGGTGCGCATCGTGACCCGGCTACTCTTCAACATCTTCGCGCAGCGTGGCAGGCGGGTTTCGGCAAGAGGGGTTCAGGGTTGTCTTGGCGCCTTTTTTTGCTTGTGTGAGCCTTGCGCCGCCCTCCCTCCCACCCCCTTCCCCCCGTAAGCTAAAGTGTGGTGCTCCTCCCCTGTTGTGGGCAGGTGTTCACTTCCTCGCGGCCATCTTCAAATTTTGGGAGGTCCAGCGCTCTGAGTGTGAACCAGACGTGTCTCTGTGGAGATTGCGACTTTTGGGCAATTTTTGAGGTTGGGAGGACCCGGGCAAGGCAAAAATGGCCAATTTGCTGGTCGGGGAGCTCGGCGTGAAAACGTGATTCTGGGAGGCCGGGAAGGCCAACGTGAAAAAGTGAAAACGTGAATCTGGGAGGCGGAGAAGGCCAACGTGAAAAAGTGAAAACGTGAATCTGGGAGGCCGGGAAGGCCAACGTGAAAACGTGAAAACGTGAATCTGGGAGGCCGGGAAGGCCAACGTGAAAACGTGAAAACGTGAATCTGGGAGGCCGGGAAGGCCAACGTGAAAACGTGAAAACGTGAATCTGGGAGGCCGGGAAGGCCAACGTGAAAACGTGAAAACGTGAATCTGGGAGGCCGGGAAGGCCAACGTGAAAACGTGAAAACGTGAAAACGTGAATCTGGGAGGCCGGGAAGGCCAACGTGAAAACGTGAAAACGTGAATCTGGGAGGCCGGGAAGGCCAACGTGAAAACGTGAAAACGTGAATCTGGGAGGCCGGGAAGGCCAACGTGAAAACGTGAAAGCGTGAATCTGGGAGGCTGGGAGGCCGGGAAGGCCAGCGTGAAAACGTGAATTCGTGAATTTGGGCGATTTTGGCGCGAAAAATGGCAAAAAATGACAGGAAAAGAGGCAGATTCACATTTTCACGTTTTCACGTCCGGGACGGGGAGGGCAGGATTCACGTTTTCACGTTTTCACGTCCGGGACGGGGAGGGCAGGATTCACATTTTCACGTTTTCACGTCCGGGGGGGGAGGGCGGGATTCACATTTTCACGTTTTCACGTCCGGGAGGTGAGGGCGGGATTCACATTCTCACGTTGTCACGTCCCGGGGGGGAGGGCAGGATTCACATTTTCACGTTTTCACCTCCGGGTAGGGGCAGGGCGGGATTCACATTTTCACGTTTTCACGTCCGGGGGGGAGGGCGGGATTCACATTTTCACGTTTTCACGTCCGGGGGGGGAGGGCGGGATTCACATTTTCACGTTTTCACGTCCGGTGCGGGGAGGGCAGGATTCACATTTTCACGTTTTCACCTCCGGGTAGTGGGAGGGCGGGATTCACATTTTCACGTCCGGGAGAGGGGGCATTTGGAAGTCTGCGTTCGTGTTGCAAGCAGGGTGTGGGTCCATGAGCTGTTTTTGCGTGCAAGGTCTGGGCGAGTTGGCTTCGAGGCGCACATGCCAGCTCTTTCTTGCAAGCGTGTGTGCCGGACAAGCTTGGGTGCTTTGTGCAAGGGGCTTGTGTGTCAGATTCGATTTCGGCTGGAGCGAAGCTGGGTGCCACCATGGAGGCCTTTGCACCCGGAGCCACGGTGATCCACTCCGTTAGCCAGAAAGTGCACAAAGTTGGCGATGACCGCCGGCTGCTGTGCCGAGCCCGTGTTGCCGAGCAGATGCTGCGTCTCTTGGAAGTCGCGAGGCCGGAGGACGACCTTTGCCAAAAATGCTTCCGGGAGCCGTGCAGGTCCCGGAGACCATGTCCAGCTCGGAGGAGACAGCAATGGAGCCGGTCCAGGAGGAGGAGCCGAACAGCCGATCGCCAGCCTCTTTCCAAAGCTCCCGCTCGCGGTGCAGCTCTTTCGCCAACACGTCAGGAGCCACTTCCTGGAGGAGCCGGGTACGAGCGGGTACGAGGTGTCCAACTTGAGCAGCAGCGGCGTGGGCCGAATCCCCGTGTGCCACCCGTCTCCTTCGGGACCACCTTGCAAGGGCTTGGCCGTTCCTACAGCGGCATAGTGCTCAAGCCCGCCGAGCCGACAGAGCCCGGGAAGAAGCGGGCGAAGACCGAGCCCGTGCCTTGGGGAGTCTTGCCAGCAATGGTGCGCGCTGAGTTGCAGCGGGGCATTCCGATCCATCTCGCCGGCAAGAGTGTGGCGGCTCTTTCACCGACGACTCGAGCCGTCGCCCAGACCGGCATCGCGGAACATGAGGTCAACGTGGTGCGCCCGGAGTTCACCATCGGCAAGGCCATGTTTTCGCACCAAAAGCTGGGCGAGCTGCCGAAGCAGGTCCCGGCCTTCCTGATCAGCCGCTCAGACACGCTTGCCCAGACCGTTACGGATCGGCCCTGCGTGAAATTTGTAAGACTGCCTTGATTTGTCGACATGATGCCGTCCGTGACAACGTCTTCGTGGCCCCCTAAACCCCAAACCCAAAAGCCAGCTTGTCTCGAAGCCGGTTCGCCCCAGGCCTCGGGCACACACACAAACATAGCTCCGTGTCAACCCCTCCTGAAGTCTTGCTCCGGCTGGCTTGGAGGGATGAGCCAGCAGTCAAACTGAAACAGGTGGAGCTCGACCATTCGTTCATGCAGATTGCCTTTTGCTCGAGCCAGAGGACAGCTAGGACCAGCAGGACGACTGCCGCCATGAGCAGGCCTCCAGCAACAT